CACACACACACACACACACACACACACACACACACACACACACACACACACACACACACACACACACACACACACACACACACACCAGCCCGCAGTAGGTGTCATCAAATAAATCATGACTTTATAACGTAACCCACCGCTTACATAAGCCGACCTTTTCGGAGATCTATCAGGTGACCGAGCTGTGCAGCAACATCTTGTCTGTAGAAGACTCTGCCTCTTTGTTGAAAAGTTCACTGGAGACTCACATTCATGTCCTCACCTGAGGCTACAGCTCCGCATGTGCTCTCAGTTACGGTCTGTACATATCTTCAGAGGATTTAATGATGCACTTACAGGCCTCTAATGTTATTCAAGCTCACTGTTTTCACATTTCTAAGCCTCGTTTACCTGTATTTGGGTTTATAACGCTGGAATGTGCAGTGTTTAGACCAGCAACTCAAACCCACAGTTATAGGGAAAAAGGCTGTGGATACATTTCAGGCGTCCAAGGGCACAACAAAAACAGCTGGTATCAGATATGTGAGACGGGGGGGGAAGACAATCTCAAGGAGGCGACGGAGTTGTTGTGTTCGGAGGTGGTGTGAGAGGCCCCAGATCGAATCATGACTCTGACTATACCGTTCAGTTCCAAAGCTCGTTCAGATCTCCAGGACCATAAAGTTTGAAATCTGAGGGTTTATTAAATTTCTCTTCCTTTGACTTCAGGTGTAAACTTAAATCTTATAAAATCTTTAACCTCTTATGAAACTGTTTCTGCTTGGAATTATGAAAAAATAGGTCACAGGCAAATTATATCAGCTACAGTTATTAAATAATCTTTTCATACAGGAGGTTGTTTTGGTCAAACCCTCGTCTCAGCCAAAGATCATTTTTGTTGAAAAGTGTTATTATGCAACAGTAGCACTCCTCAGCGACAGTGTAATTGTGGTTCAACAAGAATGAGAGAGTTGTGTCTTTTCTCTAAAGAAATGATCCACCTCTTGGTGTTTTCACATTCTCACTGTGCTCGTCTTGTTTTGAGGTGGCATCTACAAGTTTGGAACTTTTTAGGCTTAAAAACGTTGTTTTATTGCGGCTCTTACGACACAATGCATTATAGTTTTTAAACAGTGTTTTAAAACTTAAAAGATCTCCGTCTCACGTACCGTAAACAGTAAGCTGATTGTGTATTCTCTATTTGGTTGCTTAGTTACAGAAAATACCATGAATGAGGCACGAGGAGGTATGACACATATTGATCTACCTCTGATTTTAAAGTGTTTTAACTCTCGACAGGTAAAACCAATTTCATCTGGACACTGTCCTGGAGAAGAATTGTTTTAAGCCTCATCTTTCCCAATTAAATTTTCCACCCACAGCAATCTTTCACACACACTCCCGACTGCCAGTTCCACGGTATCCCCTGGATTTCAATCCAATCCACATTTAGGTGACACTCTACTGCAATCTCACTTTTATTGCACCTGTTTCCCCGAGATTAAACGTTTCAATTTCCTCTGAAGAAAAATCAGGAAGCGAAAAAATGGGAGTGGGGCCAAGCTGCCAGCTCTGAAATATCTCTCCCCTTCAGTAATCGTCCCACGATCTTCCCAATCATAAAAACAGGGGCTATATAATAATATATTGAATGGCAGAGGGAGCCGATAAAGACTTATTATTACCTGCCATCAATGACTAATATCTAAATAAATAATAGTCATTGGATGCACAGATTGAATCCTTGATCTCATTGGGATTTCAACATGATTGGTCATTCGCACATTTCTGATGTGAATCTCAGTGGAATGCTGTTGCTTGCTGTCAAACGTATTTAACTTAACATTATCCAAATCATGACATTTTTTGGGTCATGCTGCAGCCCTCTACAAAACTTCATGGAAATCGATGCAGCAGTTTTGGAGTAACGCTGCTGACAAACACACAAAAAGCTCAATAGTGCTCACACCTCCACCAAGGCCCGACAGTCCCCTTCAATTCAATCAAGCTGCACCAAATATCACAGACTGATAGCGATCAGTCCCCTAAATATGTGTTTATCGAGACCCATGAATTATTCGTATGGATGGGTTCTACACTGACCCATCGCACATCCTCCCACCAGTTACATTGACATCCGTTCTGTTGTTTTAGGGTAATCCTTCTAACTAACACACCAACCAACAAACAAACTAGAGGCAATATTTCTTTATTCTAAGATATTTTATAGACGAATCAATCAATTCAATAATTAGGGAAATTATTGTGGGATAAATCAATAATAAAAGTAATTAATAAACATAGCTTTGAGTCTTAGATATGGTCTCCTCTTTAGATTAATGGGAATTCATGTGTGTTAACAGCACTAGCATGTCGTTTCTTAGCTTTTCTTCCTCTCCATGTGTATCAGGAGCTATTTACTCTGCAAACACAGTGTGGCAAAGATGACAGCTGCGTGCAGACACACTGGAGCCGCAGCATACATCAGCCTGAGTGCTTCGTCATGTTCGCCCTATGGTTTTCTTTAGGCAGAGTTCTTGGGAGGTGTCTTTGAGTTTTAACGGCGATATCAGTGCAGCGATGTGACCGGCTCGTTACTCACGGAGCCCAATGTAGCTTGGAGGCGTGTTGCTGGCTGTTCGGGCTAAGACGGTAGTGTGTCATCTCTGCCCCGCAGGACTAGCTCCCCTCTGACTGAGAGCCGTTTGTGCTGACCGGCAGCAGAAAGATTAGCCCGAGGCAGGTAACACCACAATCACATTGTCAGCGCTCAGTCAACCCAGAGCCGGTTTTTGCCTTGCAAATTTGCCATCGGCTCCATTCTGATGCAAACCAGGTTTTTCCAACTCAGTCAGCGAGCCACTCTTCACATTACTTGTACGTCCACACCAGAGGTTTGACAAAAGTACAAATTACATGTTTGCTAAAATACAGCAGACATAGAATAAATTAAAACCCACATAAAACCGATCGCTGTCCAGTTTCAATTCCTTTTTAATTCCTTTATAGGAAGTTTAAACTAATGCATGTTATGATAAAACTCTAGTGTCTCAGCCTGGAGTCTAATAAATATGCAGCAGTGAAGTTAAATGACTCTTGAACTCCAGATACACATTTAACTCCAATGTTTACAATGGATTCACATCACGGACTTATGTAACCGAGAGAAGCAGGTTGATGCGTAGAGTTCGCTGCTTATTTAATCTCACACAAATGATCTGCATTGTTCCCAAGTCCAATATTGAAATAGAAACCAGTCCTCCTGCTTTTTCCTTCTCCAGACATCTATAAACTCTCATGGTTTGACACGAGAGGGAAAGTCATGACTCAAGACTTCAGGGCTAAAGATGCCTGAAAAGGTCATTTTGTCCCGTCTGTGCTGTTTTGTGTATCTATTTCTCTGTAGTTGTGTTAACAGTGAGATTAATATGGATTTTATTGAGAAGTATGATAATAATATTTCAAAAATACCACAAAACTAATTCATTTATGGTTTACTAATAGTATGTGTTGTATGTGGAGTTGATAAACTTCAGATTTGAAATAGATTTTTTACCAATATATATTTTTAGTGTTTTTACAACAGTCGAATATTTTTGTTTGTAGCCGTGAAGGCCACACAGCAAACCAACGTGTTTGAGTCTAATTTCAAGCAGCAACAGTTTTGTGACTCTTAAAACAAATGATCGCGTAAATCCACTCAACACCTTTTAAGAGGATTGTTATTCAAGTGGTAAATGTGTTTAATATGCAGACATCGGCACTCGTTTGGAGTTTCTGGTCATCTGATGAATGCAGGTCTAATATTGACTTGATCTTTTAGCTCTTTTTTTAAGTCTAACAACTCAACTGAGAGAGATGAAAGATGATATTTAGAGATGATCCGATTTAATTTGTCTGCAACTCTCACATTACTGCCGTCGTTTATCTAGAGTGAGTCATTCAACTCGAAGTATTCCTGAATTACTCTGCTGTCACAACACGTAGTTATCCATGTACTGTCACAGCATTTGTATCTGTCGTGAAAACATGGTGCTAAGAAATAACTCAACTTATTCATACCTTATAATTAATTCACAGCCGTTCAGTCAGAGACATTTATGTCAAAAGGTTCAGGACTATTTATTGCAGCAAAGATATGCAGTCGTATTTGGCATAGGAGGCTCCGAGCTTGAGGACGCTCTGCAAACAAATTTGTGCTGCCTGCAATACTCGAGCACATTAAAACACACCCAAGGGTAAAGAGAGCAGAGAGCAACACACACATATCACTGGGATGTGGTCATGTGGAATATACATAATGCACAAGGCAAGAAAACGCTGCCGCGCAAGAGGAAATCAGACGGAGGAAGAAGCTGGTGGTGGTGGAGCCTGAATCCAGCAGTCGCACCTCGAGCGATCGGAGGATTTAGAGTTACAGGTTGGCCAATCTCGGAGCCCATTGGCTATCGTGTAATGAAAATTTACCTCAAACTAGAAACGGAAACCAGAAGGCTTGTCCCTCGCTACAGGTTCTGCATGTTCACTTGTGTTTATAGAGATTACAGGATGGCAGAAGATCACTGACCTGCTTGAATGGGAATAGAAGTTGTACATGTCGGCTGATAGTGACCGCGGTGCCCTGTCCGGTGGAATTCGGCACTCCATTAATGGGGATTGTTCCCGATGCCCACTGGGAAATTACCTCCTCTCCTGCGCCGCTCCTGGAAGATAAGGGACACTTCACCTGGGTGGTTACTTGGCAGAGCAACAGTGTGTAAAACAGGGTGCTGTCGAAGCCACTGGGCCTCTCCGCTGCTCTGAACTGCCTCTTGGCATTTTCATCAGCAGCTGTGAATGTGCCGGAGGTCCCGGTGAAAGTGTAGCTGTGGGAATTGTTCCAGCCAGGTTTCAGTCAAATCACAAGAGCTTGTTTTTAAGACGAGAACAGAGGGCACTCAGGGACAAGAGGACGCTACTCAGGACATTTGTCAGACGGTTTCTTATAGTCACCTCCGGCTCTGGAGTCTTTTTATTTCATGGTTCACAGCAGGGATAATTAGATGTCTTGGGATAACTATGTTACGCTTTGTTGATTTTGCATAAATCGTACTCTCATGAAGAACAGTGTGACCCAAAATGTGTCGGTGCAGTCTACAAACTCAGATTGAAAGCCTTGTTTGTAAGGCAGCTTGTAATGTTATATATCTCTGCGGGGCCTCTTGAGATGCATTCGCTTTTTTAATTGATGCTAACATGAAGAGAAATTATATCCCCCCCCCCCACCTCCATTGTAGAGCGACACTCTACAGGTAGAAAGTCAAGTGCAGAGGAATGTCTTAAAGTTACGACTTAATGTTCAAGAACATTGTTCCCACATCGCAAAACCACAGAAAACAAAAGATTCCACCTAGAGATATTTCTCTCCTGATAGCAACAATAACATGATGTCAGCAAAACAGAGATACCATCAAGGTTGGCCTCAGTCATACGCTCCCATGTGATCACTGTATATAGAAGATATAAATCTGGTGCCTGGCGTTGTGTTTTTCCACCTCATAGTGGTAAAATACATTGTATTGTCACATATACAACAAATTCATCACAAGGAATGTTTCTTTTGCGCTTAAAAACTGCAAACACAGAAGATACACACATATATCCTGTGAACCAATATCTTAGTAAATGTGTGTGTAAACTTCTGGGAAATAAGAAGAAATCGGCCTTTACAACCCCAAAATAATCACTGTCACAGTGAAAAGGAAATATGAACTGTTGATAAAGTGGTTGGGCTTCTTGACTAAATTGAATTGGCAGCACAATCAAAGAAAAACTTTCAAAAAATGTACAATCACCAGCAGTTCAAAATCGGGGGTTTTGTTGACATGAAGATTAATGTAGAGTAACGCCCGACATATAATGTGAATGAAGTCTCGCTGTTCTTTTGATTTATTTGGAAGACAACGCTCTTTTTACGGCAGTGGTGTCCACATTATGCCTTCCGTCAGGACTATAATTCATCATCTGTTGACAATGTGTTTGAGCACCAGTGGCACTCGAGTGTAATTTACACTTCTCAGGTTGATTCTTACTCCGTTTTCTTCAAAGATTTTACCGAAGGTAAAACGAAAGCCGACAGGGTCAGAAAGTTAAATTGAAGACATGAAACTTTTGTCTTGTGGGCAGAGTTTCTTCTTTTATTCCACGAAGAGATACTGTGTCCTCTGCCTCTGTCGCCCTCACCCTCCTTTGCTTGCAGACAAACCCATTCAGGACCCAGTGATTAATTATTTACTCAGGCAATGAAATGCCAATGCCTAGAGAAACACACCACCAGGAGAGAAAAGGTCACTCCAGACCTGCACATAGATACACACTCTTCAATACGCACTCACACAGCAGTGATGGATGGCAATAAAATCTTTATCGGTGCTTCAGGCAGACAGAGTTTTCATCCTGGTGTCCAAACACTGTCGAGACCAAGGGCAAAGGAAAAACTTGACTGATGAGGTGAAATCTTCAAGAGAGCCTCGAAAAGCCTTCATTTAAAAACCACTCACATGTCAAAGATGGTGAACTGACCGATCAATAACAGTCCTGGACCCTATCACGACTCCGTGTGTTTGTCATTGTACAGACTAAGGATGATGATTTTCAGATTTTTGTTGGTCAATAAAATATAAATGGTTAGAGTTAGTTTATGTGACTTTCATAGTTTAAAAAAAACAAATATTTTCTCTAGTTTGTATTTGTTTCTGGTGACTGGTCTTAAAAACCTACCGCTAAAGCTAGCATATCAAGTCTCAATGGGTCAATTATATATAATATGATATGATACATGAATCTTTTTAATTTGAAATGTCTTCTCTAGTCCAGACCAGAAGCTCTGCAGTCAACTTTAACGTTCACTTAATGAGTAACCTGAGACACTGAGGCTACAAACAACACGTTCATGTTTTTTGAAGAAGTTTTGCCGTCTCTCTGTATCATTTATCCGAAGTGTTTGTTTGTGTCGTGAATTTAATTTCTACGTTAATGTCTTTCCACAGCTCCTCGACAAAGCTGGCCAAATGGGGTGCCGATGCTGCAGGATGATAAAAAGGTGAGAAGTGATTCCGCAGCTGTCACCTCTTCTTGTTTCCTGCTCTTTTCTCTCTTATATAAAATAATGTCAGGACGCATTCTTAAAGGTTTATACGTGAAACCAGTGACCAAGGTCCATCCCCTCAGTAACAGCCTCTCGCAGTAGATTTTCTTATCTGCTCGTCCACGGTGCCAATTCAAATCTCTCCTTGGCCACATAATGATTTCTTGTCTTGTTTTATGCAGATAGTGAGAGGTCCATTTTATAATACGTCTCCACCCTCAGCCTCACGGGGGCTCTTTGTACAAACTGTGAGTCAATATGCCAATAGCCATCACCCTTGGTTACTGTATTTCTTTACAGGACTGTCCATTCATTAAAGGCCGACAAGACGCGGATGTCAGGGCCTGACATCGCTGTGCTTTTCGAAAAGTGAACAAGGAGAAGGGAAACAAGATTCTGATTGCAGATTAATGAAAGGGCACGCTGCGACTCACATACCAGAGTTGTAATCCCCCTCCACACCATTTCTTTTTTTCTTTCCCATGTCAAAGACACATGTGAATGCTTGTGACACGCACACATACCTTCCTAATTGTCTGGAGTGTCACATTTCTGGGCTTAGCGGTGTTTTGGGCTTGGCAGGGTGGGCCTGTAGGTTACTGGGTCAAGAGTACGGCCTCGGTAGCAGCAGGCTGACGCTCACACAGTCCCAACAAACCTGCAGAAAAGGACAATATCTTTGTTTTATATCGTAACAAGTCGGAGCAATCATCCTGAAAGTGCACATTAAACTGCCAATAGTTGCTCAAAGCTTTCTCATTTCTTATCTTACACATTTTAAACCAACTACATTTTCATCTGGATCTCTTCCCATTCTGTACTTAATTTTTTATAGAAAATCAATTTCCCGCAGTTCCCGCTGGGTCCATTTTAATGAAAAGACAAAAAAAAAGAACTTAACCAATGTCCCTTTATATCCACATGTTTGTGCCTAAATCAGCATTTCTGAAAGAAGTAGAATGCACAACACAATTACAATTATATTTTTCTGCTATGCAGCTGAAATCTTTATTTCCAGTATTTTGCTTTAATTACGTCTAGAATACAAAAGCAGATAAAACTTATTTTGCAATCATTTTATAATAGATGCTTTTCTCATATGCTTTTACATTAATAACTAATTTGGGGGCAGTGGTAATAAGCTGTGAACACATGCACCGATGGAGCAACAATAGCATGTGAATTTAATTCCAATATTCATTTTCTTTTCAGTCTGTTTTTGATCTGAACCAAGTCCTGCTGCTGATAGTTTTGCTTTTCTCACCAGTGTTTGTACTGAAAACAGCTGTGGCTGGTTTGGATGATAATATTCTGTAGGTTCAACACTGAGACCGCTTTCATTATGTAGACATTTTGATAAGAGCAGATTTAGCATTAATATGATGTAGAAAATTCTATTTTAATAGAAACGAAAGTTAACTCAATAACTTTGCGTCAAATGTTTTTTACATTTTGACTTCAAGAGAAGCTGCATATTGCAGCTTCAAACTTTCTCTGTTACTCGAAGATGGAAGTTTCCATCACACTTAACAGAACAATATGCTGTGCCTGCAGTGAATACCACGACTGCAGCTTAAACTGTGGTCTGAGGTCTGATTCTCTGCGCGGATGGTAAAAAAAAGTAATGGAACATAGCAGGAGCAGGTGATAGCATTGAGCTGGCAAATAGTCCTTTGTCTTGCTTTGTGAATTATTGCCCGATGCTCTGTTTTCTGAAAGCGAGCCTCAGATTTCACCTCGGCAGCCAGGACGTTTTCAGCTCTCCGCTGTCAAGGCAGACAGAGGAGAGAGGCTGCAGGGTGAGCACAGAGGTATAGACGTGTGGGCGGGAGAAGTTTTAGCATGTCCTCTTGCCAGGAGACGATTGATCAATACATTTTGAAAGTTAACTTCTCAATTCTCTGAACAAAACACAACTAGCACAGAAAACAAGGGTGAAGAAAACAATTCGAGGATGCAGGAGGGAGACGATAGAAGCTCGAGGGAGAGCGCTCGAGACGAGGAGAAGTCAAGTGCAAAGGAATAGTCTGTTAGAGAGCTGCAACTACAATACAGTGACAATGGAGGAGACGCGAGGAGGTGGAGGAGGAGAGGCACCTGGAGGGCTGTGAGATGGAGGGAGCTCTGCTGGGGGTTAGGAAGCTCGCAGCTTGGAGTAGAAAACAAATGAAAAGGGAAGATGGCTGTGACAAACATGAGGCTCTCACAGCAGGTGATGTCTGACAGGCTGTTATGCTTTAAGGCCCCCCCCCCCCCCCCCCGCCAACATTCCTAATACCTGTCCAGGAGTGTGAGAGTGAACAAACTTGCTCTAACCTTATAGGAAAATCCCCCAAACATGGTTATTACAACCTATAGGAGGCTATTCAAGATGTACAACCATGGACCATATAACGACGGCGACGGACAAAACGCCAAACTTGAGGCTCAAACACACAAACCGATGGGTGAAGCCACTGTGGATAGAACTTAAATGATCACCGCTTCTTCTGTGACTTTTATTAACCTCTGTTATATAAACAAATCGACAAATCTCTGTCAGAACACATGGCTTCCAGTGAATTACCCAATAAAGGACTCATTTGACAGCAGAGAGGGAGCAGATGAGAGCGTGTGATGAAGTAATGAACAGGAAATACATCATCTCTACGCTAAATAATGGATCAGTATTAATTGTCATCCACTCTGATTGAGAATAGAATCTTATTACGCTGGTTGAAGGTGAAAAAAAGTCTCCCAGGCTCGTGTCACTCATTTTAATGAGCTGATTAAGGAACAGCGTGGCACAAATAGGACTCATTATTTTCTGTGTTTCTTTGAAGAGCCATTTTATTTATTATTTAATTTTTTTTGAGGGAGATTTCGTCCTTTATTTATTTATTCTTACTGCCTGACAGGGACTTCAGCACGTAATCAGTTATTCTCAACTAATTTAGGTCGTCTCCTCATTTTATTTTGTTAACTGTCATAAGGGTTTTTTTCTGAGCTGTTCGGAGCCTGGAATAAGACGCACATCGGCGTTTGTGTGTGATGTGCATTAGTATCATCATACACTGGGAATAAAAATGGATAACGTGTCACCACTTCCTCCCACTATCCAGAAATGGTCACCAAGATAGCTCAAACCTGACCACGGCTATCTAACGCCATTGACGTAATAAGTCTATCTAGTAAAAATAGGGGTGATAGACCGCAGACTGATACTCGACCTATCGCTCTAGTTGCAGCTCATATGAACCTAAAATAACAGAAAGAATCTTAACCCCCCCCTCCCCCCTTCCCTCTAAAGACTTCATAATAAACTACATCTGACATTCACATGAGCTGTGCAAGCATTATCACAGCTGAGGCTCTGTGCAAACATCATGTGCGAGTGTCGGTGTAACAGTAGCACTGAATAAACTGCATTGACTGTACGAGGAAGCGTCAGTGAACAGTCTGTGAGGCAGTTTGTATCGATTGTTACGGGAACATCCGACTCCTGGATCAGTCACACAGACAGAAATAGTCCTCGCTCGTTTGTCGCCACACTGATCCAGGAAATGAAACGCTGACGCCAAGTCAAGTATGACTCTGACTCTTTTAAAAACCAAGAATGAGTTTACAAATTATTTTTCCTGTGTAGCGGTTTTGATCCAAAGTCACATTTGAGTTGAAATAAGTAGTTTAAATGATAAAGTATGAGAGATTATATTTTCTGAAATTGCTACAGCTGCAACTACTGATTGCATCTGGTCGACAGAAAGGCAATTATAATGTTTTCTATTTCATTGTTTTATCGATTCAGTTTAAAAACCCTACAAGTCTGCAACCGTGCTGCTCTGTGAAAATATAAAATAAAATATTTACAGTAGAAAAACAGCATTGGTAAAGTTTAATAAAAGCAACAAATACATGAGTGTTTTAAAACAATATTGTTGTAATTTTTCAGCGAAAATAAAAATCGGACAATTTAATCTTCATTCTCAAAAAATGTATTTAGCTCAGTGTAAGGTCCATTTCCACCTCACTAATTCCATCAGTGTCCAAATTCACGTCAGGGGTTTTGCCTTTTCCTCTAAAAAATATTCCACTAACATAAGAGTGTAAAAGAAGTAATAATTGTTTGTAATTGTTTGTGTTGGCCGCTCACTATTTGAACGCTAGCGTGAATTTATGATAGTTAATAAACTCTTTTTCGCTTGAGAAATAACACTGTGTCCATCTGTCTCGCAGCTACATCTACGACCCCTCGGTGGCGGTGGATGTGAGGAAGACCGACTCCGCTGGCAGCTCCCTCTACCAGCCCCACCACCTTCCAGGCAGGGCCCCCAGCAGTGACCCACTGAGCAGCCACGACAAGCAGAAGCAGGGCATCAACAACCTGGCCTACAGCAAGTCCAACGACAGCACTCTGAAGCTAGAGGTGGACAACAACCACGTCAACCAGAGGCTGCACGCAGCACCTGTAACTGCGAAGGAGCTGCACCAGCAGGCGAGCGGACTACCTGCAGAGGGCGGTCTGTACATCATCCAACCAGACGCTGTGGGACCAAGATGGATGACACCGAGCCAGGTGCCGGTTTACCCCAATATAACGGAGTACGACAACCAAAGAAGCTACAGTGAGTGGGGACAAGAGGGGAAGCGGGGACGTGAGGGGAGGGAGTGGGATACCTCCATCAGCAAGTGTGGGAATGGCAGTGAAAGCCTATCAGCTGATGAGATTGAGATGGACGAGGGCGTGGGAGGGACGCCAGATTATCCGTGCGACACCGGGGACGAGGGTAGCGTCCTATCGGTGGACATCCACACCAGCAACCCCAGCCTGTCCTCAGCTGACACCAGGAACGAGCTCAGACTGCGAAAGACTCTGGACGTTTCCACCATTGAGAGCGGGATCTCTGTGACGAAGGGCGAGTATGAGGAGGAGGAGGAGGAGGCTAGGGACGAGGAGGAGGAGGTGCAGAGCGTCACAGACTCAATGGTGGCCGAGGCTCTAGCTGCCCTCGAAGCCGCCACAGCTGGGGAGGAATTTGATTGACGGACAACTCCGCTTTCACTCACTTATTGATCTCTTGACTCAGATTTAAATGCGACTTGACAGAGTGAAACAACTCTGTGGTTTTAATCAGCAACGAATGAAGGAAAACTCTGTTTACAGACAAACAGATGTATTTTTGAACTGGAATGTTTTTCTGTCTTGGTCACACTGAAGGAGGAGAATGCCTGCCCCTGTGAACAAGGCAATAAGCTGCGAGGTTTTCATGAAGCCACAAATAAAGAGACACCAGTGTGTAGACTGTGAATTTCGCCTGCTGCCATATCAGCCTGTTCGTCCTGTTTAACACTCCACAGTTCTACTACGTCTGTGAACTCAGTCCCTGCTTTGCTCGTACTCCTGTAAGATTAACGTCTTACCTGCTTCTATCACATTTTGGACCATCGGTATGCTAATTGATAGCATACAGCATCAGTTTTTCCTGAATTAATATGCCATATCTTGCTCTCTTCAGGAATCTCGTCCTTGTTTCACTCAAACAGGAAAGGTCATTATTGCATTTTTTTTTTTTTATATGCCGCCCATGTTTGTGTTCCCATTTTATCTTCTTTTGTTATTTATGATATCTACACCCACGTCATTTTTGATCTATTGTGACAGGACACGCAAACACCTTGATTGTAGCTTGAATCCACTCACGAGTCAGTTTTGATTTCCTCACAATGTAAGAGATTAATAAAATAGCTACTTGCAAAGTTAGGAATTAGTTTACGAACTGTGCTCATCAGACACACTGTGTATTTTTGGCGTGAGACCATGTCATGTGGCGGAATATGAGCAGACGGATTTACCTTTAAAAGTCGGAGCAGGTTAAGATAAAATGGTTCACCTAATAAATCACCTGCCAAGTCCTTTTTAAAGCACTTGCCCTTTCCGAGATGGTTCTGTGTGACCCACCACCTGACGTGTCAAAATATTGATTCACCCTGTTTATTTTTTATATTTCTATAGGTCAGGATTTGTGTTTCTACTCTGGCCTGTGACATTAGTTCAACTCAGATTTTGCTTATGTGCCTTATAATGAACTAATTGAGGCCAGTCGGTGCAGTGGAAATTGCACATATGGCTTTTTTTTTTAAGTTTTCAGCATTTCTAAGCTAAATCCTCTGTTTGCTCAATGAAGTTCTGAATCTGCTTCAGTGCAGCTCCAGTTATCAGTCATCGTGTGCCTGCCAAATCATTTCTTCTTATTGTATTTTTATTGTAAAATAAAGAAATGTACTTAAAAAATGTAAACTGAGGCACTTTGTGTGTTTTATTTATTCTGCCACGAGCAGGGCGAATGATTGAATCTCAAATAATAAAGTGGCAGCCCTAGTGGGCAACAGTAATAATATATATTTTGTATTTTCACATCGTCTGCAATTGTAGTAAATCTTGAAAAGGACAAAAAGCAGATGGACTGACTTAGTGATTCTGTTTCTACAGGATGTCAAAACACTTGTTTACGAGCACGTTGTGTCACTGTGGGACTCGGGTGTTTAAAACCCAGCCATCGCAGCAGTTAGAGCCTCGGCAGGCGGCGTCCAGGGCCCCAGAGGGCCTCGGCTAATGAACACCTCAGGGCACTTGAGCCAGGAACACACACAGCGAGCCTTGAAAACCTCCACAACAGCCGCGACTGAGGAGAAAATAAAAATCCTGGTCGGCTGACTGACTTCTCACTCCTCAGGGCAGGAGAGGCTGTTAGCCTGTCTGTCCCCCATGTCTCTCAGCGCAGGAGGTGGGAAGCAGCTCAGGACAGAAACTTCTATAACTGGACTTTGGAGGGTTTTTGGTTTTTAGTTTTTAATCTACCCACAATTCCTCATGCTCGTCATATCTTCTAGACGTTTCATTATATCCCTTCACGTACTGGTTAAGTGTTGAGTTTCAAACACACACAGCGATACCGCCTGAAACACGAGATGGTTTCATGTCATATACAACATGATGTCACGCGGAGGGAGACACTACCAGACCGAGCTGAGGCCTGAGTCTGTGTGTGTGTGTGTGCGTGTGGACACGTTCACAGTTTATTCTTATTATTTACCTTCAAGCGTTTTAACAAGAAGGTGTGTGTCTCTGAAGGAGGCTGTTGTGTTTTTATTTTTACTTTTCCACCCATGATGGACCAGATAACCTTGTGACTGTAGAGAAAGCAGATCAGAGGAGAAGCGTAAGAAATGAAGTTGTAGAAAGTTGGATTCTGCTCCAAAATAAAAAATAAAAAAAACTGTTTCCAGAATTAACTCTTTTCTTTATGAAGTTCTGAACGCACAACTTAGGTTTGTACCCAGATGAGTAAGCAGTCAGACCTGCACTAAGGGTGTGTTACTGTCATGTCAAAATGAGGAGAGGAATATTTACATACATCCACGGAGCGTGAAGACAACAGATCCGCAGTGGAGCTCCTGCTCGATGAGACCAGTGACTCATCTCTTCATCAGTGTCTCGTTCTGTCGCAAAACAACAGAGCGAACGTCAGTTTGTGCATCACCAGATTACTTTGAACTTTTCAATCAGTCTGAGGAAGGTAGATTACACACTGACGGACAAAATAAAATAGAAGAGTATGAAGATGTGATGATTCAACATTCAGGGCAAAACTACATTTCTTAAAAATACAAGTTTTGCATCACTTACATCGATAAAAACATGAACTTTTGGCAGGTTTGCAATACATGCATTCATTTTTTTTGAGATACAAAAATGATGTGAGATGATGGAAGTGCTACTCATCCTTCGATTTATTAAATGACATTCAAATAATGATTCAAATTCCACATTAAAGCAGTAAATGGTCGCGACAGGTCCTGAGCCTCGTCTTTTGATTTTTGATTTAATCTAAATTCTTTCCGTGAGAGTTTAAAGAGCCTTTAAGAATTTGAAACATATCTCAGTCCGAGGACGAGGGGTATTTCACTGATGAAGTTGATAACGTTTCTTTTTCTTTTTCCTCAGCAAAGATCAAAACTTACAAAGTGTTGTTTCATCCTGAATGGTTCTAACTGAAGATCAGTGATTTCCATTTCCATTTTTCAAACAGGATCAAACTCGTACCTTTGTCAGGAACCCTTCGCAGCGTCTTCAAGGTGTTTCACAGCAGCACGAAGGTGAAAGACGGACGAGTTCAAAAAGAAAGAAACACTTCAGTTCTCTGCAGGTATTAGATTATAAAGACAATATTTTAGTTTCCACTCCATCATCTGGACAAATGTTTGACTACAGGAATCTCAGAGCTCACAATGAATCGCACCTGTGAGTTTCATGCAAGGCCACATGGGAAATGTAGTTCACAGCTGTAGTTTCCAATGTCCCCAGAGAGATGAATACAGAAAGCAATGAGGAAATCGGAACAGATTTCATAAGTTTCACAAGTGTGCACTATATTTCCCATGAACACCTGCATGAGGATGCAGAGGTGCATGTGTTTAATGTCATTATAGGCATTTTGTCATTTAGCCTTAAGGTGTGTGTGTGTGTGTGTGTGTGTG